ATTTCACTGTTGCACGTGCGCGCTCTTGCAAGCACGTGCGCGCAAAATGACCTTTGTTCGGCAAATCTACATAACATGTCTACTGACCCTAAAAACATTTTACCTTAGTCGGATGTGTAGTTTACAAGATCACTCGCGGACAAAATTTTCCCAGGAAGAAAAATAATAATAAGAATAAGAACTAGTGCTAATTGTAACGGGGACCGTTACAGATGTTCCCCAAACGCTCCCCAACTCTCTTTTTGTGCCATATTACCTGTAAGCTTCATTAAATAAGACAAACTCTATGTATTTGAGACTTTAACAACATTTACCCGGAAGTGTACTAAGTTCATTCAAATTTTAGCATTGCACGCGTGCGCATGCGAATGCCTGTGCGAAATGACCATATCATTTTGTCTACACAATCCATATATTTTAATACACTAAAAAATAAAGTATTTAATCCAAAAGTAATAAAGAATACGCTCATTCAAGTGTATTTTTGATTTCGTTCATTTCATGCACGCACGTGCATACATGAACTCGGTGACCATACCTTCTTGTAGAAGTCCATTACATCTATCTATGTTCTAAATTCCACCCCATTTGGTTGAAAACCAAGGGCAGTTATAGCTGTTTAACGTTTAAGCCAATCAGGTTGCAGCGCACGTACAAGCATGTGCATGGTGACCATACCTTTCTTGTAGTAGTCCATTATATCTATCTATGTTCCAAATTCCATCCTGTTTGGTTGAAAACCAAGGGAGTTATAGCTGTTTAAAGTTTCAGCCAATCAGATTGCAGCGCACGTACACGCACGTGTATCCATGTGCAGGGTGACCATACCTTCTTGTAGTAGTTCATTATATCTATCTATGTTTCAAATCCCATCCTCTTTGGTTGAAAACCAAATGAGTTATAGCTATTTAAAGTTTAAGCCAATCAGATTGCAGCGCACGTGCATGCACGTGTTTTCATGATAATTGCTATATATCATGTTGTAGGATATCCTAATGCATGGCTATGTTCAAAATTTCAAAGCATTTCGTCAAAAAACAAAAAAGATATTGACATTTTTGTTTCAGCCAATCAGAGTGCAGCGCACGTGCATGCGCGTGAGATCTTGCTATTTTGACCATGTCATATTGTCTATGCTACTAATATATCCTTATATTATGAGTTCTAAAGCATTTCATCTAAAATTTAAAAAGTTACATCTATATCAATTAAATCGGTCATTTATCATGTTGCACGTGCGCGCTCTTGCAAGCACGTGCTCGCAAAATGACCTTCGTTCCGCAAATCTACATTACATGTCTACTGACCCTATAAACATTTCACCTTAGTCTGATGTGTAGTTTACAAGATCACTCGCGGACAAAATTTTCCCAGGAAGAAAAATAATAAGAATAATAATAACTAGTGCTAATTGTAACGGGGACCGTTACAGATGTTCCCCAAACGCTCCCCAAATCCCTTTTGGTGTCATATTTCCTGTAAGCTTCATTAAATAAGACAAACTCTTTGCATTTGAGACTTTAACAACGTTTACCTAGAAGTGTACCAAGTTCATTCAAATTTTAGCATTGCATGCGTGCGCATGTGAATGCATGTGCGTAATGACCATATCATCTTGTCTACACAATCTATATATTAAATATGCTAAATATTAAAGTATTTAATCCAAAAGTATTAAAGAATAAGCTCATTCAAGTGTATTTTTGATTTTACTCATTTCACGTGCACGCACGTGCATACATGAGCTTGGTAAACATGTCTTCTTGTAGAGGTCCATTAGATCTATCTATGTTCTAAATCCCACCCCGTTTGGTTGAAAATCAAAGGAGTTATACTGTTTAAAGTTAAAGCCAATCATATTACAGCGCACGTACACGCACGTGTATGAATGTGCATGGCGACCATACTTTCTTGTAGAAGTCCATTATATCTATCAATGTTCCAAATCCCATCCTGTTTGGTTGAAAACCAAGGAAGTTATAGCTATTTAAAGTTTAAGCCAATCAGAATGCAGCGCACGTGCATGCACGTGTTTTCATGAAAATTGCTATATATCGTGTTGTAGGATATCCTAATGCATGGCTATATTCAAAATTTCAAAGGATTTTGTCAAAAAACAAGAAAGATATTTAGACTTTAGTTTCAGCCAATCAGAGCGAAGCGCACGTGCATGCGCGTGAGATCTTGCTATTTTGACCATGTCGTCATGTCTATGCTACTAATATATCCTCACATTATGAGTTTCAAAGCATTTCATCAAAAAATAGAAAAGTTGCGGCTGTATCTATTATATTGGTCATTTCACGTGTTGCACGTGCGCGCTCTTGCAAGCACGTGCGCGCAAAATGACCTTGATTCCGCAAATCTACATAACATGTCTACTGACCCTAAAAAGGTTTTACCTACATCGGACGAACAGTTTACTAGATCATTCCCGGACAAAAAAGTACCCAGGAAGAAGAAGAAGAAAAATAATAATAATAATAATAAGAAACAGAGTAAAAACAATATGTTCCCCAACTTCGTTTGGGGAACATAATAAGAAACAGAGTAAAAACAATATGTTCCCCAACTTCGTTTGGGGAACATAATAAGAAACAGAGTAAAAACAACATGTTCCCCAACTTCGTTTGGGGAACATAATAACGTATTAATGTATATTTTTCTAATTGGAAAAAAGTGATCCAGTTTTGATCAATTCAAGTTTAATTATTATGCACTGTAAACAAAGTTACGGGGGTATATAGTTTTTGCCCTGTCCGTCCGTCTGTCTGTCTGTCTGTCTGTCTAGCTGACTTTTTGTCCGCAAAAACTTTAACCTTGCCCATAACTCTTGGCTGGATGGGGCTACGGCTTTTATATTTGATAGGTGTATTCCTCAGACAAGATCTTTCTTTGGGTATATACCACCAAATTTGACCTTCTGACATTGACCTTGAAATTTGACCTACTTGTACACAAATATTTCAAAATTTTACTTTGGCCATAACCTTTGAGTGGCTGGTGCTAGGATTTTCATACTTCATATTATGTATTCTTTGTGACAAGACCTTCCATTGGATACCAACAACTTTTACCCTTTGACCTTGACTACTTTTTAAAATCTTTAATCTTGACGATAGCTTTTTAATGGTAAGGGCTAGGGCTTTCGTACTTCACATACCTGTATGTAATTCTTGTAACAAGACCTTTCTTTGGGTACCAACAACTTTGACCTTGACCTAGGAGTTTGACCTGCTTTTAAAAAACTTTAACCTTGGTCATAACTTTCGGACCGCAACGGTTAGAGCTAGGGCTTTCATACTTTACATATGTTATCCCTGTGACAAGAACTTTCATTAGATAACAACAACTTTGACTATTTGACTTTGACCTTTGAGTTTGACAAACTTTTAAATAAACTTGAACCTTGCCCATAACTTTTGAACGGTTAGAGTTAAGGTTTTCATACTTATCATATGTAATCCTGGTGACGGTACAATTTTTTTAAGAAACCAACAACTTTAACCTTGACCCTGGAGTTTGACCTACCTTTAAAAAAACTTTAAACTTGGCCATAACTTTTCGAACAGGTGGTGCTAAGGCTTTCATATTTCATAATTGTATTTCTTATGAGAAGGCCTTACTTTGGGTACCAATAAATCTGATTTGCATTTGAGAAGATTTAACCTTCGCTATGTTGCCACGGGGGCATCAGTGTTTCACAAACACATCTTGTATTTATTTTTTTTATTTTTTTGTATTTGTGTCATTCCCATTAAAATATATAAAGTTTGTATTAATATCATTCCCCAAAGAAACTCCCGTGAAATTATTTCAAACAGTGTCATGGTGATGCCTCTTTGACAAACAGACAACAAATTTATACAAATTAGATAAACCATGTTTTATTCATCTTTTATGTAAAACTTGCTCTACGCTTCAAAATCCGAGATTATGGCCCTCTGCGTTATTCTCTACTGACATGAAACATTCTCGATCTTCAATAAACATTTTAAAAAATTAGGAATTAAAACCGAAATAATGAGATAAAAATTAAAACTTGTTGGTTTTGGGGTTTAGGCATCTTAATTTATCTGAAATAAATATCGAATACAAATAAAATGCATCGTTGCAACAAATTATATTTGAATAGTCTGAAATTTATTAGCGTGTGAATCTAGAGATTGCATGAAAATATGACAAAACATTTACCTTTATTTTGTCACAATGAATACCCTTTAATCATGAAGTGTTACAATTGGTGGAATATAATCTGCAGTCCTGGAATGCTGATATTGTATGGTCTTTTATGTTACGTAACGATTCAAACACAGTCCATCACAGACAAGGAGCAGGAAGGATATCAATAATGTTAACTATGTAAACTGGCTAATAACAATTATTACTTAATTAAGAAAACTTCCTTGTTATAATTAATGCAGCATTTAATTAGGACCATAATAGCTAGACAAAAGTGCAGAAAAAATTTATGCAATTTAATTGGTTGGTAAATAAAGTTTGCATCCTACGTAAGATAATCAATTAATGAACACCTTAAGTAAACGAAACATGGGAAGTTTACATTCCTCGTAAATTTTTATTACCTATTCGTTATTAAGCTCATAAAAAAATACCTCAAAGATATATGTAAACCTTCAGTCATTATTCCTACATGCATGTATATATGATTATATACAATCGCAACATATTAAAGGATAGTTTGAACTAAAATTAATCACCTTATTCATCAGTTTGCACTTCAACATTCCCAGGGGTTGACATTAATCATTTTAATACAATACGTCTTATTTGTCCGCAATTCTTCTAAACAGTATTTCAAATGTGTCAAAATAAAACCCACTAAATTTGTCGACTAAAAGAAAACACTACGCGAGAATTTCCTCACCTGATTACCCTTTTTAACTGTGACGAAATATATTTTTTTGTCTAAATCAAATATGACAGTTTAATATTTAGTCATTTTTCTGTCTGGGACTGTGAAGTACAGAAACACGGTATCGTTGAGAGCAGCAAATCGGGCCGAGAGGACTTTTGTCAAACGCAAGTCAAACGTGGAGGACTCGTATAAGGCAGTATGTAAACCCACGGTTTCCCAGTCTCCCCTTGTTCCCCCGCTTGTTAATATGGAATTTAAATGAAGCAATTACAGCTTATTAAAGGCAGTTTTTCTTGAGAAAAAAAGAATTAGAAATTTTTGTGTACTATGAACGACGATGAAACCTAAAAAAATTAAGGAGAAATTTTTGATATTATGTTTGGGATTTATGTGCTTAGTAAAATACTCAAATAGCCGAAAATGGTCTGAGAAAAAAAGTAATGCAAATAAAAAATTTGTGAGCGTACGATACAATAGTTTCAGACATGAAAGAGAACTTCGGATTGCTTTCAAAGGAATTTTTATGTTGGAGACCACCGCATTTTTGGACTCTATTTATGAAACAAAATTGCATCAAATCACGGATGGTAGCAAACTGATACAAACTGTTTACCAGAATGGTGTCATCAAAGACTGTGAGTTCTCAGTAGAAAACGCTACCATTCTGCAGTTCGTGCAGGATTTTGCTAACGATTCTAAAATTTTCTACCGAAAAGAACAAGGTGACGTGTTTTCTCTGTACAATTCCAATGCTCGTGATACAAACTCCAGTGCTCTTGTGTTTTTTCGCCGGAGAAAGTTTTTGCAGAATTTTAGAGATCTGATCAAGATCAGACACGATATTAAACTTTGCCACAAAATTGCAAATAAAATCAAACGAAACCATCGTCTTCCACGGGAAGAACTTATTCCGGTGTACGATGTTGAAATCTCTCCAACAAACGACAAAGGAGGAACCAGAAGAAGCAAGCGCTCCTCTCTGTTTGCCAGCTTCCTGATGTACCCCGGCACCAGATGGTGTGGGAGGGGACAACTGGCCACTGAGTACGACGATTTAGGGGAGGATAACGAGTTAGACGTGTGCTGCCGGGACCACGATCTCTGCCATCACATCATAGAGCCCTTCACCAAGAAGTTCCACTACTTTAATTTCCGCTTCCACGCTGTGTTGCATTGTAAATGCGATCAAGAGTAAGTATTGAGACCAAAAAAAAAGGGAAAATGTGTATTGTAGAAAAACTCCATGGATACTGATTGCAGAATAATTAAGTATAGGATAAAAGATATAGAGATGCGTAATTATAAAGTAGTACATGTTGGGTAATAAAGAAGCGTAACTGCCATATTGCTGATGCTAAAGGACATATTGGGCGTTAAAAATTTTAATTAAGTTTTTAATTGTGACACACTGTTCATAATGTTAATATGAAGCACTTTATTAGCAGAACGGAATTTTTCTTTGTGGCAGGATAATTTATTCTTTAGTCAAATGAAATAGCATACAATGGAATTAGAGCATTAGCTAAGTATTCCACAATTGGACACAACCAGTTAACACACCAAAAGTGCAATGCACATCGTTATTTACAGAGATTTGTTTTTGGTAGAATTGAAACAATTTTCCAAAAACCTAGATTAATCTAAAAGCGTTTGAAGCGAAATGACATTTTCATAGTTACTTGAAAGATATTACAGATTTTAAAAGAAAATACACATGTCATAAAACCAACATCCATAAATGTACACAACGCAAACTAAGAAATAAAACGAATTTAGAAATGTTTTATCTTCATATTTAATCTGCGCAGGTGGCCTTTGAATGCTTTTATGAATTAAAAAAAAATCCCCTTAATCTTTTTTTGAAGAACTTTGTTGTGCACATCTGTAAGCCGATTTATATTTGTACTCTGCACAATGCATTTACTGCAAAGTAGGGCCATTATAATGACATTTCACAGAAGTCACATCACTTGACCCGCTGTCCATTTCTTATAAGATCGTAATGGTCTTTATTTCTAATGAACTTAAAACGTATATGGAAATTAAAAAGATTTTCCCTCATTTTTTCTGTTATATTTATTTTTTAGAATTAATGCCACACGCTTGGGATCTTTTACTACTTTATTGCAGTTGTACACAATAAATTTATTTAAATCGACCGGAGGTGCAAGGTTTATTCCGATCTTTGAATATCCACTTTTTGATGTTGTCAAAATTCATTATTTTCTATGAATTAGTAATAGGTACTTTTTAAGGTGAGTCATCCCTGTTATGTCGTGATGACAAAAGGTGCAAAGGGGTTCTCCCCCCAAAAAGAAAGCAGGTCAGATTGCATGAATAACATCAACACGGGGTCGGCAACAATTCCGTAAAAAAAAGAAATTTTGTGAACTGTACGTAAATTATAAAGACAAATATTGAGCCGATGACATCTCTATTGTCACCATGTCGCACTTTTTTCTTCCTCGGAATATCGAATTTCTAACTCCATTTTTTCTTTATCATAGTCACAGATGCAGTAATAATTACGTTTGGGTTCACCAGTTCACGATCAGGGATTTACTCATTTCTACCACACAGAAAGGCTATTGAATTGCAGGATATTGTGCACATTATGAAAATATAGTTCATTCATGAATTTTCCGTCTCAAAGATATTGATATATTGCAGAATTAATAATGCACTTCTTATTCAAATACAAATGATCCTGCAATGTTAATTTATTTTTCAGACAAAATATATCCTTATATCCGCTTACTGTGAAAACATATAATTGGTCTTAGTAGAAATTATTGTGGCGTGAGATTAAATTTTTTGAGCAAAATTATAATACTTTGGAGGCAGCTAGGGACTGTTCTATGGCTAAGTAATAAGTAAAATAACACCATGTTTTCTTCAGACGACAACACAGAACAAGGTCTCCAATTCCAGTTTACTGATTGAAATTAGAGTTTGAGACATACACTTCTAATAAAGCATCGTTTTCAGACATAAAGGACCACACAGATCCAGTCAGCCTATGTAGGTCTCTTAATTATGATCGATCTCAAAACGTCATCTCTTTCTTTCCGTTCCAATTAGAGCACCTGACCTCTTTAAATTTATCGAAGCAGAAATTTTCTTAACTAAATAATGGTTTCTTTATATTTTTGTAAGGAAAAAAAGAAAAAGTGACCCTTTTAAAATTGTCCAATTTTATCAAAGAACAAGGCGTGGAGGAATGCCTATGATTTCAAAAACCCCTCACCATTAGGAAATGATCAAAAAATTATACTTTTCCCCTCTTTGGCAGTTTATTTTTTATTGTCAGTAAATGGTTTACTTTTACAAGAGAGGGGATGCAAAATTTCAAGCCTTAATTATGTTCCCCAAACGAAGTTGGGGAACATATTGTTTTTACTCTGTTTCTTATTAAGGTCTTCCGTTTCAGACGGAAGGCCTTATAGTGATTCTACTGTTTCTTTTTCTTTTTCTATATTATTATTTTTGTTCCCTTTTTAAAAGCACGATTTCTCAGAGATGACTGGACGGATTCTCATGAAATTTTCAGAGATGATAGAGTTTGAAGATAGCTTTCAAATGCTGTTTTCAGTTTTTCAAAATGCACTTCCGGTCGTCAGATATGTCCGATTTCCGCTTTTTTCAAAATAATTTTGTCTGATTCATATCTCAGAAACGGTAAGAGATTAAGACACCAAACTTATATGTCTAATAGATCTTGATAAGTAGGCGTGCCCATTTATGTTATGATTGTCCGCCGTCACTTCCGGTCGTCACAGGAAGTGATTAAAGGAATCGAAAATTTCAACTTTTCTCTATTGAAACTTTTTTTGCATAACATTATTGCATCTAATTTGTAGTTCCGAAATATATCAGTCCCACCGGAAACAAAAAACGACAACTTCCGGTTATAAGAGAAAAACTACATAATTTGAGTATTTTTCTTTCCCATAAATATATTTTATAGATAAAGTATTTGTAATGATTTTTTGATATGTTATTCAGACTGCAAATGTCTACAGTACTGTTAAATATC